TAATTATTGATCCTTGAACACGGTTAACGTACCTAGTTTCTACTTAGAAACTAATCTGAGGATAATCTTAAGACTTTTATGATACTGGAGATTACTTTTGCAGTCTGAACAGATTTCTACTTTTTGCAGTCTGGATGGATATGTATTCTTGTGGATAGTCTGATAAAGTTGGAGATCTATAGCAAGTATATCCAGGTAAAAACTTCTTTGTTTAAATTAAACATTTGATTGTTAAAGTATTAGTTATCACGTTTTTTAGCTGAATACTTTTGCCCTTCATTGGCTTTCCATTAAATAGAAATAAATCTTATTTACATCCCTAAAAATCTGCTATTCTTAGCTGAAATAATATTCTAAGAAGGAAAAATAATTTATAGCATAATTACAGAATATTTAAACTATAATTATAAAAATATGTACAGTTATTACATTCCTAAAATATACATGAAAAATATTAACTCTCTAATGAGTTGTCCATATTAACTCTCTAATGAGCTGCCCATATTAACTCTCTAATGAACTGTCCACCTTGTTAACATTCCCCCTCAAATTGATGTTGGTCGATCAAGAGTATCAATTTGCCAACTAGGAATTGATGACGTTGCCTAGTCATGGATTTTGTAAGCACATCAGCTATTTGGAGAACACTAAAAACGTGGAAGAGAGATAACACCAGTATTCATAGTTTCTCGTATTGAATGACAATTCACTTCGATATGTTTGGTATGCTCATGAAAAACATGATTGGTAGCAATCTGAATAGCACTTGTGTTGTCTGTATGAAGAGGAGTAGGATTGGATTGAGGAAACCCAAGTTCGGCAAGTAGCCCACGAAGAACTATCTCAGAGCAAGCTGCAGACATGGCTCGATATTCATACTAGGTGGAAGATTTTGAAACCCAATTTTGTTTCTTACTATTCCAAGATATTAAGGAATCTCCAAGAAACATACATCAGCCAGTGATAGAACGACGAGTATCAGGACATCCAGCACAATTAGCATCACTAAATGCAACAAGACAGATTGGAGAACTAGTCGGAAAGAATAAGCCACGGCTAGGTGAGCCTATAAGATACCGAATGATGCGATGAACAATTGCCAAGTGCAGATGACGTGGGGCTTGTATAAATTGACTAACCTGTTGAATGGCAAAGGAAATATTTGGTCGTGTAATAGTAAGATAATTCAAGCTCCTAACCAATTGCCGAAACATAGTAGGATCAGGAAGAGGATCCCCTTCCTCACGACGATATTTCACATTCAATTCCAATAGAGTATCAATTGAAAAAGAATCCTGAAGACCAGCCAAAGCAATCAGATCTTGACTGTACTTGTGTTGATGTAACAACACACCAGAAGAATCAAAATGAACTTCTAATCCCAAAAAATATGTAAGAGAACTGAGATCTTTCATACGAAGAGAATCCTTAAGATATTGTTAGGGACTAGTGATCAATAAAGAATCCGTTCCTGTGATAACAATGTCTTCTACATATATAAGAAGAAAAACACAATCTATAACTGTTTTATGAAGAAACAAAGACGAGTCATATTTAATTTGCACGAAAGAGAATTGGAGTAAAGTAGTTCGAAACTTGTCAAACCAAGCTCTGGGAGCTTGTTTGAGGCCATACAAAGATTTTCTTAATTTACACACATCTGATGTAGTGTAGAAAACATACCAGATGGGAGGTGTCATATAGATATCTTCTTTGAGATCACCATGGAGGAAAATATTTTTTACATTCATCTGATAAAGTGGCCAGCCTTGTGAAGCAGCAATAACAATAATAGTTTGCACAGTTGTCATTTTTGCTATAGGTGTAAAAGTTTCCTCATAGTCCACTCTATATTCCTGTTTATTTCCAGACACTAAGCGAGTTTTATATCGATATAGAGTTCCACCTGAATGAAGTTAATTGATAAACCTATTTACATCCCA